CACCACCACCATGACCACCACTACCACCATTACCACCACCACCATCACCACCATCACCACCACCACCACCACATTGTTCCTGCAGCACCACAGCCACAACTCAGGAGCTTGAAGGATGCCAGTGGGGAATTCTGGACTCTTTACCAAGCTCTTCATCTCTCTAAGTTGCTTCTGTCCCCTGCTCACTCCCTGGCTACCTTTCTGCTTTTTAGCCCACCAAGTTGATCTCTAGATGAAGGAGGGAGTTTGCAAGTATACTTCCTTCAGTAGCTTTGCTTTTCTTTAGGAAGGAAATACTGATATTTTACCATTTACTTTATAAATAACAAGAGATGTTAATTCGTTTGACTCATTGAGTTTAAAACAATCATTATAATTTTGGAGTGTTTGATTAAATTCTCTTTAATTATACACAGTTGCTTATGTTGCTGCTCTGAGGAGCAGGAGAGTTTCTCAGGAACATTATTCTCCTTTCTTCCTCCTGTGTACTCTTCCTGCTTGCCCTGGTAGGACCAGTCCATACCCAGGGGACATGTTAGCATGTTGTCCCAGGACTTGAAGTGTCTGAAGAGATTGTCCCCTCGAGGGCCAGGCTTCTCAACCCTGATGTAAACTGTAAATAAGAGGAGAGTGTTGTTTTGTGTTTTCTCTGCATCCACTCTGTTCTCATTCACTCCAAAACAAATCTGCTTTCAGGGAGGGCTCAGATGAGCCTGGTTAAGGGGAGGTAGCAATGACAGGGTAGCAGTGGCAAACCGAAGAAAGGAACTGTGAATGTGGAATTGCAGCTCGTCAAACAAGTAGGGTAGTGTAGGGAGGGTAAAGGTTCCCTCTCTGGATACTCTTCAAGTAAATGACTCTTTAATAGTGATTCCTGTCTCTTGTCCCTTTCCTCACCTTCTCCTGTCCTTTGCTCAAGACGCAGCTCACAGCTGGTCTCCCACTGGAGTGCTCCCTCTGCAATGCCCTGACCATGTGCTGCCCACCTCGTCTGCTTACAAATGGGTCCCTTCGTCGTCGTCCTCCTCCTCCTCCTCCTCCTGGGGACTGTTAGTCTCTTAGCAGCAGAGCAGCTCAGTCCCAGCCCTGGCTGTCTCCCTGGCATCTAACACAGTGGCCTTCAGGAAGTGCTTTTGGACTAAATCTAATTGTATTCCTGCTATTCGAAAAGGATAGTTTTTAAACATGGATAATATAACTTTCTCCAAAAGATAGGTAAGAGGTTGCTAACTCCTTTTTTTTTG